CCCACACCAATTGGTTCTTTTGGCGTGTTTTTTAGGTGGTTTTTTTTCGGTTCATTGTTATTCGGCTCCCAGCGCTGTTGCCTCACCCTTGCGTCCCTGAAGTGCGAGCCACCGGCTGCCGAAGCCTTAATAACATAAAAAACGCCTTAATAACATAATGAATGCCTTAATGAGGCTATTTCTTAATTAGGGCCCTCTTATTTCTGTAGTTGTTTAGGGAGAACCCAGGCTGTCATCCCCTGGTCTATTGTATTTTGGATTTTGTGCTATGTTGTTTCACTTGGAGGTTGTCATCATCTTTTCTGTTGCTGCACCTGCCCCAGAATTTCCAACTTCTTTTTTTCCTCCAGGAGCTTTTTTTTTTGTTTATTTATTTTGTTTTGTTTGTGTGTTTTTTACGGAGTAATCTTTGATGCTGTGAGAGCTCAGTAAAACGAAGAAGTCGTCACTGTAGAACTTCACAGTGATGACTTTGTGTTTACGTGCCTGTTACTGCAATAACAAACTCCTGAACCTGTTCCTCCTTATAAATGTGGTTTTAAAAGCATCACCCCTTCACGAGGTGGTGGCTTGGTTTTTGGGGTCTGTGTCATTCTCTGTGTTTCAGCACCAAATTCGTGCCCTCTGCTGAGTGTGGGACAGTTTCTGCTTTTTTTCTTTGGTGAGGGTAAACAGATTTTTTTTTTTTCTCTAAAATGACATTTTGAGGTAACATTTGACATGCCTTGTGCAGCTGCTGTGGGAGGCTGAGGATTGATGTACGTGTATGGAATGCATTTATCCCATGGAATTGAGGCAGCGATTTACTGAAGGAGTTTGGGCTGAATGAGACCTACACAGCCCACTTAAAATGCTGTTTATGTCTTCTACAGAGCAGCTTTCTTAGCAGTAGTAGATTTGGTGACTGTAAATTGACAGATCTCTGTGAAGTCGTGGTTTCAGATTCATAATCACCAAAATTTACCAGAATTTACTGTGATGTTACCAGCATGATCAGGTTTAGGGTTTGAGGTGGGTTCTCTTGTGTGACTGTTTTCTATCCTGTGCACTCCAGGCACTGTGTTGATTCTGGATTTGCTCTGATTCTTCTCTAGATAATTTACTGCTGTAAAGGTTCTTTCAACTGTAGATTTATCCATCTGTCTAACAGGTAGTGTGCTGATTTTCTCACATTCATACATCTCATTCCTGTCACTGAATTAAATTCATTGGATTGCTTTCTTTCCATCAGTGTCCAGATTTTGGATTTAAAAAAAAAAAATCATTACATTCATAAAGACAATTCTAAAAATAGCCTTTATTACCTAGGATAGCTTCACTTTGAAGTGTTTGAATGATGTTACATTGAAGTATGTTTGTAAAGAGAAGTAAATAGTATAATCACTGACTGGTTCAGCCTCTGATGGTCAACATGATTGAAGACTTTAAAGGCAGGAATACTTTTGAACTTTTCTTTTTTTGAATGCCAGAGATAGAAAGCAAAAACACAAGTTCTTTTGCCTGCTTGGACTCATTTCTGGATGCTCAATATGAATTAGAAACTCAAACTGAAAATATTCTGTAAGGTCCAGGCAGACTCTAGCTGTCAGTCCTTGTTCACACCATAGCCAAGCCTGGTTTCAGGTGGTCATCTAGCTTCCTCTAGTGTAGTTTTGTTTGCAAACATGCCATTTTATGATAGATTTATTACAGCTTTTCTGCTTTGACAGTTTCTGGCAGGTTCCCACCTGAAACCCATTGGAGGTTTTTGCAAAAAATGCTCTTTGTTTACCTTAAACGTTTAATTTCCCAGTGAGGTTTCCAGCAGTCTCAGCTATTCAAAAGGGAATTTTTACTGATCATGCGCTATATTAAAATGATTTCAGGTGAACAATTTGCTGTGGTGGGAAAAATGCCATTTATAGACTTTGTGGGACCCTTGGTGGCATAATTGAAAATATTGGTGCACCCGGCCTGGAAGTGTTTTCTGGGATACTGTGTGATAGGCATGGGACATTGACTGGAATATCAGCTTTCAGATGGTGGTGTTCCAGTTTCCCTTGTACTTTTTTCCTCCTCCTAATTAATATCTTGTCATGGAGCTGGGCCAGGTTGGTTGGTGTTGTCTGCAGGAATGGGCTGGGTGAAAATCAAAAACTAAATCACAAGTTCAAACAGCTACATTGATCTACATAGCAATATTCAGATATTTAAATAAAAGCTTAGGATGAAGACTGGATTTTTTGTTGTTGTTGTTAGGTCTCTTAAGAGCAGTTTTATGGTCATGGCTGTGTTTCCTGGTGTTGAGAAATATTTTAGTGGTGAAAGGTTTTCATACTGCTCTGTAGAGTAGAGCACACCAAGGAATTTGTGTCTACAGTGAAAGGTAAAAAAGGTTTAATCTCTAGTCTGTTCCCACATGCAGGAAGAATTACCACAAAACAGTGACAATTGCATGTGGAAGCCTGGTTTTTATCTTCTGTGTGTTTCACAGGAGGAGGATTGGAGGGAATGGTTTTAAAATGTCACAGGCGGGTGACTGGCAGGTACATCCATATAAATACGTTTTTCAGCTTAACACATCCATGTGTGTGTATGAGGTGGAAAAAACATTTGAAAATAAGCTATAAATGCAGTAATTTGGGGTTTTTTTGAGAAATGCTGGTTTGAGTGACTGGCAAAAAGCTGATACTGCTTTTCTTTTCTTTGGCTTCTGTGTGGTGCAAACATCTGTTATTCCCAGGATCTTCAAACACGGGCATGAATACTTACAAACTTATTTGAATTTTTGCTACTGCTACAAATTTGCTGTGCTCTCGGTCTGGAGTGAAGAGGCGGTGGAACACGAGGGGTTTGCATTCTGCAGGCAAGCCTGCCGTGGGTAGGTGGTGTTCTCTGTGCTGACAGTGGCAATTAGAGCATGGTGTTTTGTTTGCTAACACCATTTTGAAAGAAAAAAAACCCCAAAAAACAAGCAAAAGACAATCCCTCATCTACAGGTAGGTTTGGCTTCATTTCTCTGCCTCTGCCTGTCACCTAGCAGAAGTGCACGTGATATTCACTGTGGTAGGATGGGTCACAATAGCTGTGAAAGGGTTGGAGTTTGCAGCTGTTCTGAGCAGGAATGAACCTCATTCTTCATGTCAGGGGTGCTCTGGCCTGGTATTTCAACCATACATTTAACACAAAGTTATGCACAGGGTGATGCGTGGTGGGGAGTGTTCCTACTGCACCGGGAATTCCTGCGCCTCAAAATTTCTGCTTTTTGTGGCAGATTTCATGTGTATATAACTGAGGGGCTGATGCTAAGGGTACGCCATCACTTAGAAAGATAATCCACATTACAAAAGCACTCGAGGTGGCCTTGATGCAGAAATAGTGATGCTGTGCCTGACATGGGTGACCTCAGTGCCTGTCTGACAGACACAATCCCTGCTGCTGGTGTACAGCAACACTGGATGTCTTGCAGTGCTCTGTTTGACCAAAACCCACCCATTTCTATACAGATGAGATAATGTAGGTGGTTTTCCATGCTGCATGTTGGCTTCATTAAAGCAGTACAGCAAATATTTGTGCTATGTGCTGTGGGTGTGCTGTGGGCCTTGCAGGGTCACTTGCTGTTTTGTCTCAATGCCTGTTTCTGATGCGCTCGTTATCTTGCAGTGCTGCCACTTGAGGATGAGAAATTTTAATCCCCAACTCTTGTCACCTAGGGCTTAGCAGGAGGTGGAGAATGTTTTTCAGGGGTTGTGTTAGAGCTCGGGAGCCCCAGATGAAAAAGCAGCACACGTCCTTGAGTGAGTGGAACCACCCATAGCTGAGGGTCAGATTTTCAAGGACTCAAAACCATTATCTGATTCTTCAAGGTTAGTCGGATGCAGCTGTGATTTCTTCACTGTTACATTTGGCAGAAATGTAACACAGTGCTTGCTGATGTGGAGAATGCATAAAATCGTGCATAAATTCTGAACCAACATCACTAAATTACCAAGATTCCAGTTTAGACAGCTGTTGTAAAATAGCATTAAATGGTTCTTAAAATCACTTCTTTTCCACCAAAATGGATATTTTCTCTAGTTGTATCCTTGACTTGAGCTGTGTCCCTTTCCCGAGTTAGGAAACAACGGCCCTCATCTCCTGCTCTTTGTAATCAATGTCTTGTGGATCTCAGTCTTCCCCACATCCTTTCCCTCTGTTTATGAGATGGAAAAAAGGGAAAGGTGGCAGAAACCTCCTGTGAATTTGAATATTATTCATAGAACATAGTATCAGATAGTGCAAATGGTAAGGACTGCTGTCCAAGATAGGTCAAGGTACAAAAGACTCACTGAATTATGTATGCTGCCATGTTGACACAAGCTAAGGTGAAATTTAGGAGATAATTACTAAACAAATTGCTGTTGTTTGCTAATCTAACACAGTCAAATCTGATCAGCGCAAAAGAACATGTCTTTTACACTTATAGTAAAAGTTCAAATTGCAAAAAAAAAAAAAATTCATGCTCAAGTGTGTGCCTTGAGCAAAGGCCTCTGGTGCTACTGCTTTCTAAGGTGTACTGGTGATTGCATAAAACATTTTTTTATTTGTCCAAATTGTCCAAATTTACAAAGCTTGGAAAAGCCTTGGAATATTTCTGCATGTGCTCTGCAGACTGTTAGGTGGCTTTTCTGGGCAAGGATGTCCTCCAGCAGAGCAGACAGCTAGAGTACAGCTTGTCAATAAACAGAAAAAAAAGGAGACTGATCAGATGTGACTTTTAAGAGTGCAGAGACTGAGAACTTTTGTGCCCTTGATCCAGACATCAGCCAAATTGCTTGCTATCTTGGGACAGAAAAATTAATGGAACTAGAGGAAGAGTGAGGCTATATATCCTATCACAGGCTGCGCTTGTTTCTTTTTTGTGTGTGTGTTTTTTTGATTTTTTTTTTTTTTTAATAAATGATTGAAATAATTATGAAAGGGATTGTTTGTTAACAGGTCTACAAAGGGGTTTTAGAGGCCACCCTTTTCAGTACAGAAGCTGGACAGGATAGAGGGAGCCTGGGGCTTTCCAAACGCTGTCAGCTGTGTCAGGCTTGGGGTGAAACCTCGCAAAATCCCGGGGAGAGATTTGTGCTGGCTGAGCCAAGCAGGGGAGCATCAGACTCTGGTGTGGAGGCTTGTATTAAATTACTCCAGCTGAGAAAATTAACCTTAATTTTCAGAGTCCAGCACACAGCAGGCACAGATCGGGAGATGGGGCAGAAATGTTAATTTCTCTGAAAGCTGACGTGGAGGATAATTGTTTTAGGAAGCAAGAGGCAGGGAACTAACATCTTGTGTGTCTCGGAAATACAGTACTTGAGTAATGTTTTGTGATCTCCTGAAGGCAGTATTAGAGGGAAGGGGTTTTTCTCCCTGTGCCTTGGTCAGACAAGTCTATAGATTAAAAATGTGCCTTATATGTTATAAATTTTTTACTCTTGTCTCTTGCAGGGATTTGTTTTATTCACTCTGACTGTCCTCAAACTAGATTTTTTTCCTTTTCTTGAAGTAAAGAGGTAGAGGAGGAATTTTTTAGTATGTTGTTTTAATTTGAGGTTATTGTTTTGAGGGTGCAAAATAAAAATACTCAAAATCCAATAAAATAATACTGCAAAATCAAAATACTTTTGAGGGTGCAAAATAAATAAATAAGGGCATTTGTAGCGCTGAAAGAGAGGAAGATGCAGTGGCAAGTTCTTTATCTAAAACTGCACTGGAACAGGTTGTTGGACCTGTGGAGAGGAGACTCCTGTGTTCCAAGGCTGTTTTTTTAATGCTCATGTATCTGCATTATTTCAGGGCCATTGTGTTTGCTCACTGTTGTGTTTCAGGTACTGATGTGCAGCTGCTGTTGGGAGCCAGAAACACAAAGGTGAAGTGCCCCCCTACATACACTGAGACCTGTTTTTAAAATATTTATCCCTTCTCTGCTGCTGTTTCTGTGCCCCACTCCCCGTGTTTTATGTCGTCATTAACTTACCTGGGAAAGCAACAATTTACCCTGAGACCTCTGTGGTGTTTCTCTGCTTTGTTGCAATCTGAGTGTTAAGATCTCCAGCTTGTGTCTGACTGGTTCAGTGCCAAAGCAGTTTTGTGCTGTATTTTCCTAATGAGTTCTTAATTGCCCTCTCAGCTCAAGTCCCAGTG